ACAAACATAAAATAATCCTTGAAAACTATAACAGAACTGAGGCATGTGCAGGGGGAAGACAAGAGATGGGAATAAAGTGGGGAGGGAGCATAGTGGGCTGTGGTGGAGGGCTGTGGGTGCTTTGGTAGCAAGAGTGCTGTGATAACTACACCTGAAGGAGTGATTCTGTTTTTCCAAATTACCAACAGCAATGTAAACCAACATTATCTGATTTAAATAATTCTTTCCTCTGTGTTATAGAATTGTTACAAAAAGAATAATGGATTTTAAAGCTATTTAGATTTCATATCTTTTTGTTACAATAAGAACAACTTATTCAAAAAGAACTTATGGAAGGATATCAAAGTATTTAATAAAAATAACAGGTAGTGGGCCTTCCCTGGTGGCACAGCGGGTTAAAGCACAGCACTAAGAAGCTAAAGCCACTTCATAATGAGTTCGATCCCCAGCCCCGGAGGTGATACAACATGGTGTGGCAGACCTCTCCTATCTAGTCCACTGCTCCCCTCAGCAGTGTACTTCGTCGATCTGCCTGTTCTGCTCCCCCACTGTCTCTAGTGAATCCTCTCACCAAGCCCAGCACCCTTGGCCCACACCCCAGATCTTGTATGCATAAATAAATCTTTAAAAAAAAAAAAAAGGGATGAGACGGAAAGGAAATAAGAATAGCTTATTTTAGCTTTCTCCAGAGTAGAGCTATTAATGGGGTCAGCTACAGTCATGTGTCCAAACTTCAAAATACATAAATAGATACCTGGATGATACAGCATCATTCACTAAGTCAGCCAAGGTAGAGGGTAGACTCATTTTGTAGAATTAGTAGCACTGACAAGAACTGTTTGGTATCAGCGGAGCTGGAAAACTACCTCAAAAAATGTATAGTTTTATTAATCTGACTCCAGAAAAGAATACATGTATTTGGTATTTATGTCTTGAGATGAAACATTTTAAAGTTGAAAGTCATTTTTGTCCACTAACAATTAATTAGAAACTTGTAACTATGAATTTAATACGTACTAGGTGATCATAACCATACTAATAAATGGTTTCATAACATGCAATAATAGCCACTGTAATACAGAGGTATTCTAGCAGAGGGGCTAAAACTGTAAGCCCTTGAGCCTGATATGTACCACTTTATTTCCTAACTATAAAGGATTGTACAAATTAGTTAAATCTTTAGCCCTTATCTTGATTGTCTATAATAAGGAAGTTTATTGTTAAGCTTCTGCTGTAGTTCAAACCACCACAGAATGTCCTTCACATACCAGGAATCTTCTGGTTCAGGAATCTTCTGGTAAGCTAGAGCAAGTCTTATCGAGGGTGAGTCAGCTGGAGTGATTTCAATTAGAGGGTGGCTCTGTGTCTATGCCACATCTTTCATCTTTCCTGGATATGCTGCTACCTAAAACGCTTTTTCTCAGGATGAACAGAAGAATAAAAAGGGAGAAGCCCAACTGCTAAAATATATTTCAAGAATTTGTAACTTGTAAGTTTAATATATGTAAAGAATTTAAAATAATGTCTGGTATATAAATGCTAAATAATTGGTATTATTAGGTGCACTTTTATGCAGAAATTCAGAAGTTCAGTTTATATATCTGTAACATAAATTCCATATTTGGCAAATGTATCACTTCATTGGAGTTAGACATGCTTGAATTTAATTAAAAATTAATTGAAGGTATATGTCTTTATATGTCTTTCGTAGACTGTCAGTTAACTTCTGGAGTAGTCAAAGTGGTTACTGCCTAACTGCTAAAACCATAGAACTACTAAAGGTCAAGAAGTTCTACCCTCTCATTTAACAGATATTGACTTAAGCAAAATGGTGAGATACTTGATTAAAGATAAAGGGATCGACAGAGGATAGACTGATAAACAAAATATAAATTAGAAATTAAATGAAAACTAGGAATTCAATGAATCATGCCTTGATCTCTAAAATTCTAGTTGAGGATTCAGTCCACTGTGTCACATAGCCCCCTGGTGGTATTTCTGAACCAGATGCCAGCAGTGGCCTGTCCTGCAGTCACTGTGACCCATACCCTGTTCCATCACTGTTATAGGAACTTTCAAATTGTCAAACCTAGCTTCACTAAAGGGTCCCAGATGCATTGTAACTTTGAACTCACTGAGACTGGCTCCAGCCATAGTTCTTCAGAGCCCTTTGGTCCCCAAGCCTGCCCTCTCCTGAATGGAGGCTGGTCTAGGCAGGGGCCAGGTTTTTCCCTTTTGTACCTTGCTCCAGGATCATAAATGTATCAGTCAACTGATTTCTTCAGCGGTCATTCAAACCTTGAGTTAATTATGCAAATTGAAATGAAAGCAAGCAGATTAGTGCTAAACAGAACCAATCAGATGCTTAGGGTTGAAAATCAATTCACTCTGGCTTGCTTTGTGGGGGATCCTGAAGAGGATTAAGGCAGAGCAAGAACCAACTGGATTCACTCAGCAACCAGACTCCAAAGACAGAAGCACTCAGCAGCCAACCTCTGAAGAGAGAAGTACTGAGAAGATAGCCTCCAAAGAAAGAAGCATTCACTCAGCATGTGACCTCCACAGGATTCAGCAGACCTTTGTAGACCTTCACAGAGACCTGAATGCTAAATCTGCCTCCAGCCCTGCCTCTCACTTTGCCTGCAAGGAGCACTGTCAGCTCAGTGTCTCAAAGACTCCCGTATTGTTGGTTATTGGTTGGTTCACACCAATAGTTTATAAAAAACTGTAGCAGTGCTATCTCTGATACCACCTCCTTATGACCAGTGCTAATGGGCATTACTCATCAATGACCTGCATTCTGTCCTGCCACCTTGGAGAGCTTTCCACCACCTCTGATTCTATCGCACTTTTGCTTGGAGCCATTGAGTCCATCACTATCCAGACTGGTATCAGGTGACTATCCAGCCCTGCCTTTAGACTATTTGTTGTTACCTATGCAACCCCACATGTGAGTACTTTCAGCTGCTGGACCCTGATACACTGCTGACCACCATCTCCAGGCCCTTATTAATAGGACAGCACCATCTTGCTAGAGCAGTATTTGTTTGGGATATCTAGACACTGAAAATACTCTCTGGGATTAGACAGCCAGCCAGTTGTGGCCTTAGTAACTCATTTTCCCAATCTCCTGTTTGTTAAATAAACCTTGTTTTTGTTGGAATCTGAGTCTGAGTAGTGCCTGGCAATGAGTACACTGGTAAAATACATAGACAGTGACCTACCACCACACTTCTCCCAACTTGTTGGCACTGTGTTTTAACACTCCTTTAAGCATTCTTTTGGTACTGCTTTTTTTTCCTGTACCTTTACCTATATTCAGTTTATTATATTTTTTTCTTTTTTGTGGGTCTTATAAGGAGAAGTAATTTTAAGTAACTTTTGAAATAATTTTTGCAACTCTTCCTTCAGTTGAAAAGAATTAGTACAGGACTTCCTATAAAAACAAAAACTATTTTTTTTACTAATATTTATCTATTTTATTAATATTTACTGAATCCCTTATTACTTGTTGAGAACTAGACATACAGCGGCAAAAATAGCAATAATAGACCTCTTTTTTGTGAGTTTATATTGTAGTTAGGAAATAGACAATAACAACTTATTATCCAGTATATTTAACAAATCCTTATCAGCATTTCCAAAATCAGAAAGGTCTGAAGTTGAAAGTTTTTGCAACTCATATAGAGCTAAAATATGACCTAATCTTAACTCATGTGGTAATAAAATTGACATGAAGCTACTTATTGCCTTTTAAAATTCCACTTAGAGCATATGCTTTACTGTACAGCTATTAAAATATTTGATTTCAGAATGTTGTTCCAGACCTTTCAGATGGGGGTTGGGACATGTTACATAATACTGTATTGCCATTAAAAAATAAAATAATACACATCTGGCCCCTACAGGGATTACATTTGGGCTGTGTAATATCTAGAAGTTATAAATGTTATGAGTGGAAATAAACAGAGAATGAAGGCCAACCAGGAGGAGGATGAGGTTGGAGGTTGGGGAAGTTTAGAGTATAGTGAGTAAATGCCTCACAGAGAGGAGTCTTGAAACATGCAATGGGACTCTCAAGGTAATAAAAGTTTCACTCTTTGGTAACATACATGTTCCAGTATGAGGGAAAGCCAATGTGAGAGACCTAAACCAATGTTTATCATACTTGAAGAACAAGAAGTCTACGATGGCTGCAGAATACCAAACCAGGGAGGAGTGGATAAGCTATCAGAGTTAAACAGAGGACCCAATTATCTAGGGCAAGAGAAAGTCTTTGGATTTTATCATAAAAGTTAAAAGTGAAATTATTGTAGGGCCTTAACCAAAGGAATATCTAAAATCCAGCTTTCTTTTTAAGAATTTCACTCTGTTGTTCTGTAAATAATAGATTGCTACAGTAATATGGACTGGGAAGAATAACCAATAATGGCTCTGTGGGATATTCAGAAATTTAACGGTGACTGGTTATTTTTAATAAAGCAGCATCTTAATCATACTTTACTAAAAATAATGTCTTGTAGATATCCATTGATCAAATTTGTGCTATGAATTCGTAGTCTAAATATTATTAAAGTATCATGTTTGTTGTTTCTTGTTCTAGATTTATTTCTAAACATTAGGGCTGAGATATTATTAGCTTGGTTATAGCTCTTCCAAACTTCCCTCCATCTTCCAAAGAGGCTTCTCGTATCCCAGCTGAAAGACAACTAGAAGAAAGAGTACTGGACTTAGGTTTCTTATGAGCTAAATCTTTCTTTAATTGTCTATAATGTTGCTCAAGTTACATTAATATCTCAATTTCAGCTTCCTATAGTGTATAATACAGGGATTTTTTTTTTTACTGCTCATATATTTAGCAAGTACTGTGCATGAGACTAAGATTCATTTATTCTTAATACTTCATGCAAATATCAATGTCGTGTGAATCTAAAGAAAGTATAGAATAACTGGCTAAATGCTTAAAATTGGTAAATTCACCCTTCTTTCCTTTTTAACAGGACCAAGGAAACAAATACCAGAAGCCAAGAGCACAGAATATTTTCCTTCATCACTTTATAGAACCCTATTACATCTCTAAATCCATCAAACACAAAGGAATGACTGCCTTGGCAGATGGCCACAGAGGATGTCAACAATATTCTGGAGGCAAGCAATGAAATACTTCTGCTATGAGTTTCCTGTTATTAGGCATGTAGAAGCAAATAGAATTATCTTACATATTAATACAAAAGTAAAATGTTTTAATATAGCAAATTTTATAGAAGCTTAACTACACTATTTCTTCCTTTTATTTCCTTTTCCCTGAGCACAGTTGTATGTCAAAAATTACAATTAGCTGTTTTTCATCTTTTTTTTTTTTTTAAGAATTTGACTCTTAAAATGTAGGGCTACATTTTATCCCTAATTATAGATTAAAATTTTTAATAATAACAATTAAGTACCTATTCTTGAGAACAGTGCCCTTTGTATCTATTTTGGGCACCATATCATAAAACTACAACTAATAAGTGGCTTCAGAATTTAGAATTATTTTGTTTATTTTCAAATCATCTATATCATGTATAGTTTTTTTTGATCTTAACATTTTTTTCTCGCTTATTCTTATCCACTGTTCTGAAGTGCTCAAAAATCTTAAAATACCATGCCCTTTCATCCTTCACTTTATTGAATCCTGTATCAGAATATTTCATGGAACTTTCAGTTGCTTTCATAGCAGCTTTACTGCCCCTGGCAGAAGAGTTGGGCAAAGATCTTCAAATTGAAATGGTATACAGTACTCTTTAAAGGGAAAGTTTACTTGGGAAGAAATTGCTGGTATTTTAAAAGAAAAAATTATAGGGATGTTCTTTTAGTTTCATGAAAAACAAAGACTTAAGTAAATGTGTATGAAATAGATAAAAATGAACTCCTAAAAATAAAAGTAGAATGGTTAAAAAAAATTTTCAAAGGATTTTATGAACAAAGAAACTGTAGATTTGCTCAGAATTTTTGATTTGGTGTTTTGTGAATTCAGCTCATAGGCCTAAGGTCATCCAGCAAAGATGTCTGCTTTTTAAGTTCTATGTAGATGAATGCTTTCTAAGTAAAGGAGGCCATAAATGTTTAAAAAGCCCAATATAGAGCTTCTGAGTTTTTGTTCAGTAACTAGTCAAAATTAATTCTTGCTTTTCTGTTGGGGAAAATTTCATCTAATTACATTCAAATTATTCTGCAACTTTTGGACAGCAAATCCTGATCACCAAAGAAAAGAATAAGCAGCTGTTTTGCCCTTGCCTTACAGATACAAGAATAGCATTATTATGCAGTCATTGGGCTTTATTGAAACATAAAGTGGTTATCCACTGGCTGCTTCTGGAAGAGACACACCTAAACCTTTCTGAACTGCTGACTATGTATTGCTTCTTTTGTAAAGAAATAGATTCTTCTGCAAAGAAATGGATTCCATTGCCTCCTTCAGCAAACCAATCTAGTATAACTGCTCTCTGGAGTAGAAAGTTCTCTTTTTGTTATTTCATGCAGTTTTTCAAGCAAGACTACTTCTATGACTTTTTTTTCTCAGACTTGCAAATTTTTGTTATCTTTGATCCTCAATTTTTACATCTTTAAAATTTGGATGCTAATAATAATTTAACTATGCATTAAACCATATAGATATGTAAAACTTACATATTAGCACTTGTCTAGCATAAAGTCCATAAGTAGATTTGTAGTAAATCTGTTTTTTACAAAATGATTGAAAACTAGTTTCTTCATAATCAGCTCTATTTTTGCAGTAGTTGAAATAATTTTTTCATTATAACTATACTAAATTTCTCTTGCATCATTATGTCTATTCTACTACGACTAAACTTTTTTCATATTGAAGTTTCCCAAAAAGTATATAATTCGTCATTAAAAATGTGAAAATGCAGTTTATACAGGAACCAGTTAAAAAACATTGTTGTTTTGAAAATCATTGTTATCCTTTGAACTTCATGAAAACTATATACATTCCAAATTTTGCAATAGCTTTTACTTGGATGTTCATAGACTTACTACCTATTTTGAAATGTTAACTATGAATATATCAATTAGCATCATGTGGAGAAATATTTATGTGCAGAGCAGTTTGAATGCTATTATTTTGGGGAGTAAATATCTTTTGTGTATCTATTGATCAGATGTTTATTTAATCTGAGAAGCTAATTTGATGTTTCCACTAGGAAAATAAAAGGAAACAAGAAATTTTTTTACTAGCTTAGTTATCTAGGTCTGCTGTTACAGATTACCACAACTGGATGATTTAACTTTACAGGAATTTATTCTTTCTCAGTTCTGTAGGTTAGAAGTCTGATATCTTGTCCTGAAGACCAACTTTGTGGGCCCTACTAGATAATCCAGCCCATTCCTTTCCTCAGTTCTGGTGTTGTGTAAAGGTCTCAGCATTTTGGTGTATAGACTTATAAATTCAGTTTCTGACTTACTCATCACATGGTTTTCTCCCCTTGTGTCTATCTCTCTGCTTCTTAAAAATACAGGCATTAGCCCACAGTCATTAATAAAGTTACAGATGTAATTTTATTCTCTCTGCAGACTGTATTTCCAAATAAGGTCAGAGTCATAGGTGTTGTGCATTAGGATTTGAAACTATATTTTGGAAGTAACACAGTTCCACTTTAGAATGTCTTGGACCTCTTCCCGCTTTGTTTTGCATACTGCACCCTCCTCTTCTGGTAGCTTCCACTATGCAGTCAGACTTGTAGGTTTCTTTTGGACTAGTTTTTGACTTTCCTTTCTTTTCTCTCTTCTCCCAATATGAGTCAAACCACTTGCTGTTGTCTTCTTCCTTGGACTTACTTTGCTTAGCATTATCCTTCCAATTCCATCCATGTTGTTGCAAATCGCAAGATTTCATTTTTACTGCATAATTCAACAGAATCCTATTGTATTTATGTGCCACATCTTAATCCTATCGTTTGCCATTTATTGTTTCTATAGCTTTGCAACTGAAAATAGTGCTTCAGTAAATATAGGTTTATATCCCTTTTAAGTAGTGTTTTTTGTACTCTTTGGGGTGATATCTAGGAATAGAATTGCTGATTCATATGATAGCTTAATATTTTGAGAAACCTATACTATTTTTTATAATATAATAGTTTATTTTTACATCATTTTGTACTTTTTTTTTTTCATCTCAATTGTAATCCCTGTGGGTTTCCCGTCACCGAGTCACCTGTGTGCCATCACCATAGTCCCGTGCACTTCCCTCCCCCCACCCCCGTTTTTGATCCCATTCCCCACTCCACCCCCACAAAATGTCTCAGGTATATGGCTGTTCATTATTCTTGTTATTTTCTCACCTGGTCCATTATATTCCTGCTATGAGCGAAACCATCTGGTATTTTTCTTTCTCTTTCTGGCTTATCTCACTAAGCATGATCTTTTCCAGCTCCATCCAAGATGCTGCAAAAGACATGTGTTTCTTTTTTTTTTTTTGGTTGCCATTGTATATATGTACCACATCTTTTTACTCCAGTCATCTACTTTAGGGCATTTGGGCTTCCATGTCTTTCCAATTGCCTTTCCATGTCTTTCCAAGCAGCAATAAACATGGGGGTGCAGGTATCTTTTTGAATCAGTATTTTTGTGTCTTTTGGGTAGATACCTAGGAATGGTATTGCTGGGTCGTAGGGAAGCTCCATGTTAAGCAGCTTGAGAAACCTCATTTATAGTTGTCTACTGGTTTTCATTTTTACTTTGTTGCAATTGCTTCCCTCACCCCCGCCCCGCCACCCCGATGCCTTACACTCCTGCTTTGAGTAAAACCATCCAGTATTTTTCTTTTTCTTTCTGGCTTATTTTACTAAGTATGATGATCCCTTTCAGCTTCATCCATGAAGCTGTAAAAGGCATGAGTTTCTCTTTTTTGATTCCTGAATAATATTCCATCCTGTATATGTACCACATCTTCTTAATCCAGTTATCTATTTAGGGGCATTTTAAACCAAGGATACTACTTATTTTCATGAATAAGAAAAGTAAAGATATTAAAAATGTTGACCTTTTAAGATGAACATAGCCAAAATATATATTTTATATTAATTCAGTTTACCTCAGTGAGGTTTTTCTAATATGTATCTTGTCACATGGCACAAGGGTCATCAATACATTTTTATCAGCTCTTCTATGTCATTTCCTATATAAGTGGACAAAATTGTCACATATTTATCATATAATAAGTCTTACAGGGGATATGCATTCACATTTTAGCATTTCAGATGACTTATATGTATTTTCTTTGTCCTTAAAAGAGAAGGGAGGTAAAACAAAGCCCTATTGTGGAGTCTATAAGAACAGGTTGGTTGTCTCAGATTATTCTTTTGTGTAGTAGTTATTCAATAAATATTTAGGAAGTCAATGAAGGAATTTATTTTTTTATGAAAGAGATCGTAAACTACTCTTATGTGTATAGGCAGTATCCAAAAGGAAGCTAATGAAAGTTAAGGTAGTGCTGAAGTGAACTCACTTACACACCTTTCATGCTAAGTGTCTGATATAAAAGATAAACAGAGGCCAAAAATAAAGCATTTGCATTGTTAGAAAATGGAAATACATTCTTTATTACTTAGAATTGCTGAATAAACCGAAGGAGTTAAGACTTGGGTTTGTATTTTTATCTCATTTTCCAAATGAAGTTTGAAACTTTAGGGAAAAACAAAACATGTGGTTAAATGAACAGCTGATTATGTAGTTAGGGAGTAGAATTTGATTTTCTAAATTATGGATCAAATTACTGGAGTAGTGGTATTTGTCTTTCTGCAAAAGAAGCAAAATGATCTTAATTACTTTTTTTTCCTTTGTGTATTTCAAAATGATAAGAAAAAATTTGCAAGTAAAGTTGCTCCACCTTTATATAACTTACCTTATTCTAAATTTTACTGTGTTTTATATTGCTCAATATTAGTAAGTCCCTCCCATCTTTTTTTAAAGATTTACTAATTTATACATACAGAGCTGGGGTAAGGTCAGAGGTGCAGAGATGGTGAAAGGATTCACCAGAGACAGAGTGGGGAGCAGAACAGGCCTACTGATGAAGTACACTGCTGAGGAGAGCAGTGGGCGGGACAAGAGAGGTCTGCTGCACCATGTGG